GAAAACAACGTTTCATCACGTGCTTTCCTTATCATCCTACGATTTGTCAAATGGGAGATACGGCAATTGGAATAATTGGTACTGAAATTGACACTTTCGACTAGGATTGGCTGAAAGTTTTACAACTGAAGTTTAACACGCCCAGACGCAGTTTTATAAAGAAAACAGACTAGAAAAAGGTTTAGATACCAGTCATAGATGGCAGAAACAGTGTTGAGGTGAAAGGAAATATCTTAAAAAAATTTTGAAAAACATTTCTTTATAGAGGGCGCTTATTTACAGTCTAAAACATATTTTAGGAATTTTTTCATTAAATTCCTCTTTAAACTTCATTAAAGAATACAATTTTGTACAAATAACTGAATGTTATACTACTATTTATAAAAATAAAATCAGAAATCCATTAAAAGATAAGTTCTCTATCATTTTTTCAATTCACAAATGCACACTTGCATTGCCTACTAAGAAAGTTAGTACCAGTAGTCATCGGGTTAATCAGAAACGCCCTTCACTGGTCAATCGGAAAGGTGTTCTTCTTCTCCACGACAAGACAAGTCGACATGTGGCACGTTTGACGTAATACAAGACTATGGAATTGGGTTGGGAAGTTCTCCCCACCCACCATATTCTCCAAATATGGCACCATCAGACTACCATATTTTTCATTGCTGCAACACCATTTTAATGGGAAAACATATGCAAATGTGGAAGGTGTTAAAGAGGATATCGACATGATGTTTGCTTCAAAGCCACGTGATTTCTTTAATCGGGGCATTAACAACCTGATTGTAAGATGGAAAAGCATCATTGATAAGAATGGAAACTATTTCATTGAATATATGTTTTGTTTTCATATACAAATCGTTCGGGTTTGTTTTTTTTCATCTAAAAAAAGCGACACTAATTTCTTGATGACCTAATGTATAGCAAAAAAAATATTGTAAATATTTTTATTGGTGCAATTTAGATAGTTTATATAGTGCGGGTGTCATATTTAGTTATTTTTTAGAAGAGATAGTTTATGATAAGTTTGTTTACGAATCATACATACCTGGTTCAATTTTTATGAATTAGTAATTGTTTACAAAAGTGAGATTATTGCGTCCTATTGCTAAAACTTTGAGTTTCTTGTTAGTTTAATTTAGTAGTATTGCATCAGAATATCTAGTATTGTGTGAAATGTTCTAGACTTCTATCGGGGTATAAATAAGCATTGAAAATTCATTATTTAGTTGTAGGTATAGACTGCGTGATCACGAGTTTAGCAGTAAAGTGTGTATAGTGGCGAGTTTTAAAGTGAAATTATCACAGACTGTATTGTAATAACAGAGCATAGAAGAAAATTCGTCTTGTCAAATTGTGTTCTAAAGTAGCTGAACCCGTCTGTGTGGACTTTGACGAAAACGGGACAGTTACTTAAAGCTCCGGATACAATTGTGGTAACCAATAGTGTAACGAACATATGTATGTTTGATTTATTTGTTTTTAATATGTTATTTTGAAACAAGCAGACAGTGTTGCTCTTTGTTTATAGTTGAAATTTATCGCCAACAAGCCACAGACACCTACTGCAAAGAATCTTCCTACAAAACCTGACACAAACACGTGTGTATTCAAAATTATATTTCATGACCTACGTATATGGTATCATTTACCAAACTTATGATGGCCATCCAACGAGTGCTCCTCGCGTGCCTCAGTGAGAAGTCTGGGGCTTTCTCACGCTAAATAATAGGGTTTCGATACCCGCGGTGGGCAGAGCAAAAATAGCCCACCGTGTAACTTTTTAACAAATACACTCTACGCGTGAAAATATGAACGAGCCAGCTTTGTGAATATTTGTTTAAATATATCTTTCGTTTAATCTAACCTCATTTTTTATCTATAGCTTAAATAATGCTTACAAAGCATGTGATGGGTGGAAATGTTAGTCATATATCGTTAGGTGTAAACTGGTTTATTACAAAAATGACGTTGAAACATTCTATATGGATAAAGGTCGTGAATTTTCAAAAAAATATTAAGCAAAGTTTGGTCTTTGAATATTCAAAGCGATGTGAAAAAATTAATTGAAGCATATATATAACTTATGGATGTGTGAAATGCTTTATTTTATGTTTCTCCAACCAAATAAAGTAATTTTATCGATAAACTAAAAGGGAATGAGCTGAAAGTTAAGAGAGAGAACAGATCTAACATTCTCTGATTTAGACACCAAGCCTTGAAACACAAACTTAAGATACTTTCACTTTAAAATGCAATGATCATATTTATACATCGCTTTGTAAAGGTTACGGTTTAAATACCGAAAACTGGCAAAGCATTAGAAACCAATTTGTGATAGAACCACGCTGCATATTTGTTCATTGCCAATTAAAAAACAGAAGAGGCGTGTAAAAATAGCATTTTTACTTTTATACGTTTAAGGATATACACGCACATATACTCCCAATACTAAATATATATATACATATATATCAGCATGGATTTGTCAGCTAATTACATCAGTTAATAAGGTTTAAAAACCATTAATGGTGGTACATCACAAGGAAACTTATGTAAATTTCAAAAATTTATGTGATATGTAGATTCTGATTTGAAATGTGTTTAAAAATGACTAAGTTTAGGGCTTATTTTCAACCTCACGTACGAGGCGTGAAAAGAATGATCAGAAACACAAAGTTTCACATTGCTTATCTGGTTTGATGTATGGAATAATGTTTTAAGACAATTAATTACTCGCATGTGTTTTAGCTACTAAGAAGTGAAATAGAACGCAAATATTTAAGTTGTAAATCATTAATCGTTTATCAATTTTATTATACACAAGCATGAGGCAAGGGTTACAAAAATTTTCGTACATTTGGTATTGTACAAAACAATGTAAAAATATTTTGATAATGCAAAGTGTATGGTCACAAAGCCCTTACAGCGAACGTAAATCTAGTTCTTGGTTTTGCTGAAATATATGTTGATAGTAAGCACATATTTTCATATGTAATAATAGTTACATTGTGTTTCTATTTATAATCTTAAGTCTGAATTTGAGCCATCCTGTAAAATCAACTGATAAATTTATTTCATGAGAGTTCATAAACAAATTTAAAAATTAATATATGACGAGTTCGTGTTTTTTTTTTAGTACATTTACCAAAAGTTTGGAGTACCCTTAAAAATAGAATCTTGGTGGCGCTACTCAAAAGTTTTTGCAATATACCAAATGTAAAAAAAACCACAATTTTGCAGACAGTAAAATAACTTTATGCACAAAAAAACGAACATTTTAACAATTTTAAACAATACTCATTAAAAACATCCAGGTGTTTCAATGTATTTTTACCACTGACAACTCCTCAAAAGGAGTTTAGAACACAAGAAGGCGCTAGTGAACAACTAATGTCATTTTTCATTCATTACAATAGCTGAACACTAGGGGTTTATTATATTCAAATTTTTTACTACGCTTGCAAAACTAATGGGGTTTGTCTATGTTTTAGGGAAGTCTGAATACTGTAACTTCTGTAATTATTATTTTTCATTTTGAACTAAAACATTCAAATAATGTTTTGAAATAGTTGTATAGTTGTCTAAATGCTCAACAGATACCAGAAACTGTGACTGTATAACAAATTCAACTATCAGTAACTAAACATCGATGAACATTTTCATATTTAAATACAATAATCATAATATATATATATGAAAATATTAGCCAAGCCCTCAATGTGAAACAAAACATGGGCTGTGCAGTAAAGCTAAATTACTGATTAGCGTTAATTAAACTAAACATATACAGTGGGTGTGTAAGATTTCACATAATCTACAAGACTTCTTAGACCTATATTCGACTCATCATTTTTTTTTTCCTCTGGCAATAATATGAATAAAAAGTAACTGTACAAGAATCATGGTCACAAAGTATTTCAAATATAATTATTTACATCATATTAAGTATTCTGTTGTATTTAAACAAACAGTGCAATCACAAAAGTAGAAAATATCATATCAACCAAATATTAAGGTGATTCTGGGGATCCACCTGAACCAGGGAACACCAGGACATGTTCCATACTTTGAGGTGTAGAGTTGCGGGCATCGTAATTGTGACTGTTACACCCAGAACTGCTGGAACTTAACTCTTCATAACTACCTTGAAATTCTGGGAAAGAAAAAAGTACAATATTTCCTCAGTAAACATAGAAAAAATCATAGAACAAATAAATTACAGAAGACGAAGTTTGAAAGAACAATGAAACATACTTGAAGAATAGGTATGCACGTATAAGTAAAACATAAGCTAACCAAAGCATAACTTTCTAAGTGGAGATGTAGAATCTGTAAATGCTGGATTTGTATATATTTTTTATCTCTCTTCATTAATGCTTATTGTTGTTATACATTTTAAAAAGATCATAAGTATTCACCTGGTAAGCTTGTGTTTATTTATTCTTGGTAACCTATTAGTATGATGCCTTCACTAATATGGAAATATATTTTCATAATTTAATTCATGTGTCACAATTTTTCTTTCATTTAAGAAAGTTTTTATAAAATAAAAGATGGGTTCTGTGTGAATTATATATACATATGTTGAAAGAATTAATAACATTTCCCAAAAGAAAGTGCTCATTAAGATGTAACTGAATTAAGTTGCGTCTTTCAACATACCAGTGTTATTAGGAGGATCAATAGTTGTGATGTCTCTTGCTGGTGTTTCTATTATAGCATCAGCCATAATTGAATTAAGTTACATATTTCAACATACCAGTGTTATTAGGAGGATCAATAGTTGTGATGTCTCTTGTTGGTATTTCTATTATAGCATCAGCCATAA